ATTTTATAAAAGAAACTGGGTGAAACTTTACTAGTGACCGATGGGAGGCCCATTTTTTTCATATTTTGTCATATGTTCCTTGAGGTAAGATGTTCCTGATCATCAGCCGGTTTTGAGTTTTCACTATCGTCTTGCTAACCACTGCGCCACATCGGCTGCTTACCTGCTAGTATATTATGTACTTACTTGCAATGGAACGATCTGCCCCAGCGGGCGGTGGAGAAATCTAGGAAGAAATTTTACTATACTCTATCCGCGCGATGAAGATAATATAGCGTCCTCTCAACCGCACTTTTGTATGCAAGTGAAAGGGTCAAATGATTGCCCTTCCATTCCAGGTAAGTGGGCGTCAACAATTGTGTAAAAACGTAAAGATGCGTTTACATGGCTCTTTGGTTAAATAAGACTCATAAATATTTTTTACTATTAAATTTGATTTTCTTTGGTCTATTACAATATTGAATAAGTAAAAATAATTTTAGGTAAATACATCTGTGTATGTTTCACAGGAAATAGTCCAAAACACGCGCTAGTTCGTAGGAGAAATAAAACAATCGATATAAGAACAAAAGAACGCGTTCGCTCCGTGCAAGCCACAGAAGTAGACTGAAATTGCACCGCCATGTAAACGCACCCTTGCCTCGTTATCGCTAACCAATGGCAATAATTTTGCATTTTCTGGTATTATCTTCATCGCGCGGATAGAGTATAGTAAAATTTCTTCCTAGATTTCTCCACCGCCCGCTGGGGCAGATCGTTCCATTGCAAGTAAGTACATAATATACTAGCAGGTAAGCAGCCGATGTGGCGCAGTGGTTAGCAAGACTGCCTGCCACGCGGAAGGTTCCGGGTTCAATTCCCGGTGGGGTCAATCACAAAGTTGATATTTATCACTTTGTGAATTTGTTTCCAGTCTGGTTAGGACATTGCAGGCTGAACCACCTGATTGTCTGAAAAGTAAGATGGTTCCGTGCTTCGGATGGGCACGTTAAGCTGTCGGTCCCGGTTGCTGTCTATGATGGCGGTCGTTACACAACCATGTCAGAGGCCTGCTACTTGCAGTAGGCGGTTAAAAACCGACACCAGGGTTCATCGGGTCGTTGAACGACTCGATGTCCCACACGAAGAGAGAGAGAGAGAGGTAAGCAACGAATGATTTCCGCCAGGTTTTTACTTGAAACTATATTCTATTCACCATAACGAGCTAGTATAGAGTCATCGCAAACGTTTTTGCATGTGAGTAAAAGGGATAAATAACTATCGCCGCCTTTCTGCACGCAAGTAAAAGAGACAAATGACAATTTGATACTAGCTCGTTATCGTGAACAGAGTAAGGCAACTTGTCGAATATAAAATATAATAGTACGGTCTGTGACTTTTGGAAATGTATGGAAAGGTGACGATTTTTGTTTAAGTGAAATTTCGATATGGGGCCGTGTAGAGGACCTCAATCTAAGGTTTTTGAGCCCGGTTACCAAACTCCAGCACGTGGTGGGGGGGAGGGGGGGGGGCGTTCAAACTTTCGCGTTACCGCGCTTCAGTAAAAAAAATATGTGGCGTTGGCTTTACATACAATTTTGATTTTGGTATCAATTTCTTATAAATCGAGAATGTACCTTTCATTTTTTGTATCAAAATACCTATATTTCTTACGAGAAATATGAAAAAAATTGAAATAAACGAAAAAAATCTGCAAAGAATTGTAATTTTTTTCATTTGACAGGCTATATCTTTAAAAATATATATGAATAAGTCATAAATAAAAAATAATATCAGTTAGTCTTATTATTAAAATTTATGAAATCACTCACAGTAATGCCAATATTCGTAGAAAAAACTCCCAAAAAAAATAAGAACCGTGCCTACTGCAATGTGTACCCGTACGTACCTACTGCTATGTTTAGCGTATAACATTTTTCATTTTCCTGAAAAAGGGTTACAGAGTTATTATTTGTAATGTCATTTATTATAATAAATAAAGTAGACGTATCTACACTAACATAATAAAGAGGAAAGTTTTGTTTTTTGTATGTACTTATGTATGTAATCGATAAACTCCGGAGCTACTGAACTAAATTAAAAAATTCTTTCACCATTAGAAAGCTACAATATTTCAGAGTAACATGAGCTACTTTATACCACGGGAAAATATATTATTCCCACGGGAAAACCGTTAAATTTAGCTGATATTACCCAAATTATCCAAAGCACTTGACCGATCTTCGCGAAATTCATCACTGATATTGCTAGCATATCAAAAAAGGGCATGAACTACGTTTTGTCAGAACATGAGGATCTGGAGTACCTGATGGAGAGCACTGCTATACTATATGAGATACAAAAATGGCAAGAAAGTATTTTTTTATCTAGTTATTGTTATTAACTCAAGTTATTTGTTCTTGAAAGGGAGATTTTGAATAAAGTTCATCATTGCATAGATCATCATTTATTAGGCAATACCATAAATATTGTAGGATAATAAAATCACCACAAGAGCCACCAACTGCGGCTACTGCAGCGCCCTCTATCATCTCAGCGCACGCGCAGCGAGCTGCGGCGCGAGCCAGTCGACAATCGCAACTGGCGGTCGCGCGTGTGTGATTGTCGTCCTCCAAGAAGAAGGCTGTCGTAACCAGCCGAAACGTAGAGGGCTACACCTTCTACCAAATAATCAAGAAGTAAGTCGCGTAAATATACATGATAATAAAATCATTTTTATAACAAACTAGCGGCCCGCCCAGCGGTTTCACCCGCTGCTACTTACATGTTTTCCGTAGAAATTGGATCTTTGCCCGTAGTAAAAAGTCCATTACTCCGTTCCAGTAAAGGTGAATGTGCCAGCAGAAGCGGCCCGTCATGCTGAATAACTTTTACTTTGTAGCCATTACCGTATCTCTTATAGTTTAGATGGGATGCTGGTGGTCTTCATCAGGTACTCCAGATCCTCGATGACCATGTACCAGCAGAATTGGCCCGTCATGATGAACAACTTTTTCTATCAAGCCATGACCTATCTCTTATAGTTTAGATGGGATGCTGGTGGTCTTCCTAAGGTACTCCAGATCCTCGAGGTCTGACAAAAAGTAGGCCATGTTCGTCTTTAATATGCTAGTAACATTATTTGGGTAGTATCTCTTATAGTTTAGATGGGATGCTGGTGGTCTTCCTAAGGTACTCCAGATCCTCGAGGGCTGACAAAAAGTAGGCCATGTTCGTCTTTAATATGCTAGTAACATTATTTGGGTAGTATCTCTTATAGTTTAGATGGGATGCTGGTGGTCTTCCTAAGGTACTCCAGATCCTCGAGGGCTGACAAAAAGTAGGCCATGTTCGTCTTTAATATGCTAGTAACATTATTTGGGTAATATCTGCTGTACTTCCCGCTTTTCCTGCTGTTAGCCGTTTCCCCGTAGGAATGAGGAATTTTCCACTGGTAAAAAGTAGCCTATGTTACTCAGGAATGTTGTAGCTTTCTAATGGTAAAAGATTTTTTGAAATCGGTCCAGTGGTTTCAGAGTTAATCGATCACATACATACAAAAAAACAAAGGTTTCCTCTTTATTATATAAGTGTAGACTAGCAACCCGACCAGCGGCTTCACCCGCTGCTACTTACCTACCTGTTTTCTTGTGGAAATGTCATGTTTAAAAACCTCTTCTTTCCGTCTCTATCGTATTAAGTCACAGACCGTACTATAATAACGGCACAGGCTTCAGCCTTAGAGCATTTGTCCACCGCGCCGAGAACGAGAACGATCAAACGCCCTTAGAGTATAATGGGTGTTACAAAACAACAAAGAAAGCCGAAAGGAGGTAACGGTACCTACTAATGAAAGTGAACAACTTTCCCCATGGAACATAGGTCGAAATATGAAAAATAAATGTTGCCCTCCCATACAAAATTGACCAGCCGGCCAAGTCAATTTGAATGGGAGGTAGTTTTTTTTCATATTTCAACTCAGGTTCTATCGAGAAAGTTGTTCAGTTTCATGAGTACCTTGACATCCTTAAGGCTGTATTTGTTGTTTTGTAACACGTTGTATTAAGAACGGTTGGCAGTAGTAAGCACACAACCTCTCCTCTCATCAGTAGCAAAACGCCAGTGACAACACTATTGAACCTCTCAAACATTTGACGTCGGTATCTATGGGGCAACTGCTTACGTTTTGACAGTAGGTACGGTGCAGGGTGGTACGCGCATTCTATAGCTTGCTTATATTAGGCTCCAGCTGTTGATAGGGTTGTCACAAGTTCAGTGTGACAAGCTGTTGATAGGGTTGTCGCTCCAGGCGAAGTCGTCGTTAGAAAACGCGTAGACCAGCCAGTAGAAGAGATTGAGCACTGCAAAGGAGGCCGGGAATAGAACCCGGGCCGCGCGGTCTATGAACGACACGCTGTTGATGTGTCCGTGTCTGCCTGGAATGACGGAAATGTTTTGATAAGATCACAGCGCTGTATGTACTATTGTGGTAATGAAAAAAAAAATAAACGTAGTTTAAAAGCTTATCTGCCTTCTGTCTCAGGATCTAGGCTGGATGTTCTTTGTTCATGTAAGGGCGTTTGTCCACCGCGCCGTCATCGTCTCGTCAACCGAGAACGAGATGACGGCGCCGAAGTAGCGGTACATACATTTACTTAGCCGCGTGTCCACCGCACATCCGTCACGTCGCCGTCGCTTCATACTAAACTCAGCTCGAAATAATCTCGTGACGGCGCGGTGGACAAACGCCTTAATACCTACAGGGAATCCTAGACGGACCTATAAGTGCAATTGTGTAATTCTGTTCGCCTACTTCGAGCTGCCTGTTAACAGCCAAAAAAAAAAGGAAATAAGCCATCTTTCGAAACCTTTTTTACGACAGGCACACCCGTAGCAGAAGCTATTCTAAGTTGGAATTACACTGGTTGTTTACCTATTGGGATTTAATGCACTCACAGTGCTATATTATTCTCACAAGTGAAAATAAGAAATAGAAAAAATCATCATCATCATCCTATGTTGCATCGATAGCCCAGTGGCAGAGCGGTGGGGCGTTTACCCATGCGGCCCGGGTTCTATTCCCGGTCGATGTAGGGTAGGGTGGTGTAAGATTGCGCAATTTTTGTTCAACACCTTATAACTCTAAAAATATTAACCTTATCTAGGTTCAATCACTTATTTATTAAAAGTTATTCTTCTGGCAACAAATCAACATACTTATTATTGCAAAATATATATCACCGCCTTAACAATAACATGAAAATCACAAATCGGGAATTGCGCAATTTTGCACACCGTAGTGTGTAAAATTGCGCATCGAGATTGATAAAATTGCGCAACTTTATTATTTGCTAAAATTGCGGGATCCAAAAAATGTATACAATAATAATAGACGAAAATGTATTTTTGCCTCAGAAAATAAGTAAAAACCACAAATTAGGAATTTCACAATTTTACACACCATATCGTGTAAAATTGCGCGTTGAGGGCGATAAGATTGCGCGACTACGTGTACAAGAAAGCCAATTTAATGTGCTTAAAGTATATATTAATCAAAATTGGAAACAAAATTAGAAGTTTACTGAACAATTAAAATGAATTATCGAGATTGGACACCCAATAATGACAAGTGTGTGTAAAACGGTATGCGCAATCTTACATTTACTTAAGATGCGCAATTTTACACATTGAGGTCATTTTGCAAACTTTGTTCTACTACCGCCATCTCTTAGAAAATATCTGTTTAACTTCTCACGTTACTTACAATTCAATGACTCTGCCGCGACAAAACAATAACAAATTAACAAAATTTCTACTGGTTTCAGTTAGGTAAAACATTAAAAACATCAAAAAGTTTAGTCAACAGTGACTAAAAACTTTAAAATCTAATAATTTGGTGGTTTTACACTCATTTACCATACTTTTTCTGGAGCACGTTTCTGTTGCGACTGAGAACAAAATATAACTGAAGTTAACTACGAGCTTCGCTCCATTGTCCTGCAATGGCGTGTGCGCAATTTTATCGACTGCGCAATCTTGCACCACCCTACCCTATGACATTTTTTCTAATTCTTATTTTCGGTTGTTTACCTGCTTCCAACTGCCTCTGTCGCCTGTAGTTGTCGTCTCCAGCCAGGCAATACAGCAGCTGACGCCACCGCGGCACGCGCCGCTCGGTCTGCGTGGTCCTCTCCATGGTCAGCCTTACGGCGCCGCTCGACGGGTCCGGGCTGCGTCGGGGCATCTCGTCGCCGGAGAAGTTGTCTTGGACTTGCAGGGAGAAGCTCTGAAAGTAAATTTCTTTGTTGACTTTGGATCAGAGTTGGGCAAAAATCTATTTGTAACAAGTTTTTTTTTTATAATACGACAAGCCTTGAGGTTGGACTCAAAATGAACATGACCAAGACACAGACCATGACCAATAGCGCGAGACGTAGGGTCGAGGTTGATGGGCAGGTAATAAATATGTCAACGAGTACATTTACTTGGGCCAGCTAGTCTCCTTCGAAAACAGGCAAGGCAAGGTCCGATTTTGATGTGGTTTTCAGTGATGGATTTGGATTTTTAGGTAGTGCTTACATAGTTAGCGTTGGATCTAGCCGAACTTCGCCTGCGTACCGCGAGCTGAGCTGTTGCGCCGCGAACGCGTCGCCGCCTACTTCTTCTATCAACTCCTCCCACTCCGAGTCGTCGATGATTATCGTTATAATTGTGAAGTGAATATTATCCATATTGTCCATAGAAAGATCTCGTAAATCTAGGGTTACTTTACTTCAACCATTTAGAAGTTAAACAAGACTTGAGATAGTGTGCTTACATAGTTAGCGTTGGATCTGGCCGAGCTGCGCCTGCGCACGGCGAGCTGTTGCGCCGCGAAAGCATCCCCGCCTACTTCTTCGATCAGCTCCTCCCACTCCGAGTCGTCGATGATAATCGTTATCATTGTGAAGTGAATATTATCTATATGGTCCATAGAAATATCTCGTAAATCTAGGGTTACTTCAACCATTGAGAAATTAAACCAGACTTGAGATAGTGTGCATACATAGTTAGCATTGGATCTGGCCGAGCTTCGTCTGCGCACGGCGAGCTGTTGCGCCGCGAAAGCATCCCCGCCCACTTCTTCGATCAGCTCCTCCCACTCCGAGTCGTCGATGATGATCTCGCCAGAACCAACCTGCAAACATGACAAGGTAAGTACAAACCCAACTGTAAGTATAGAAGATCAAAACAAACGCGTAAAGAGTAAACGAAGCTGATTTCCAAAGTAAGTATTTGCTCAGTTTAAAGATGTCCCTGAATGATGAAAATATCTTGCATTGCGCTCACCAACCCGCCTACCAAGCGTGGTGAGCATGGCAAATACCCCCCCTAGCAGGGGGAGGCGCATGTTCAGCAGTGGACTTTATTGTGGCTGTTATAGTAGGTATTGTTACAGGAGTAGTAGTAAAGATGTCCTTATAGACTGACCTTGAGGCGACGTGGTACGCCCTGAAAATGACCGGTTTGTATGAACGCTGTCACGTTGATGGCGCACTACGACGCCGCCACGCGTTTGTTCTTTATTTGACCTTAACGCTGAAGTTGACCAGTTTTATAGGCTGATCATGCTTTTTGGGTCCGTCCCTATCTCCCGTTCTTATAAACCACTTTGAGTAGGTATGCTTCGTAGTAGGTCGTAGCTAGAGGAGTTACAAGTAGGCACCTTGGTAAAGTAATGTACTCCAGCGAACTCGAGCAGTGTAGCGATGCAGTAGAAGAAGCTCATCAGCAGGAACCAGTCGAGGGCCGTGGCGTAGCGAACCTTTAAATTGAATTTCCTTTTTAAGTTTTCATGTAAGTACAAAGAAAAAACAGCTATATTTACTTAGTATTTAATGGAATAACCTACGCCTCAGGCTGGACTTTGGACCGTCCCTGTGCCAAGGCCAAGCGCATTAAACTTACAATAGCGGTTCGAATGTCTAAACGGACATGGGCTTAACTCTACGTCTAAGTTTTAGGAACATTTACCTTCGGCAGATCAGTGCGCGAGTCCAAACTGATAGTTGATAGAGTCAGCACTGTCGTGATGCCAAGTCCTACGCGGTCCGATGTTGCCTGAGGATATAGGTGGAAATTTTACTACGGAAGTAGTAATAGCGAAGATTACGTAAAAGTGTAACAGGCGTAGGTACCTGATTAAATAAACATGGTTTGCCAGAGACAAACTCATAGAAATCGTCTTAGCTGGCCTTGGGCGACCTAGACGAAACTTCTTAGGTATTAGTCCCATTTAATACGTGACAGAATAAACCCAAGGCTGATTTAGTTTATTTCTAGTCCTCTTTGTCGTTGTGTAACCTAACGTGCCTACCTAGGTTTAATATACGTAGAAAGGAAAAAACTAATTTGGCCTAGCCCAGACTTACGAAGTATTTTGTTAATAAGGTACTAAGCTTTCATTAAACTAGATAGATACCTCTCTGTGTATCCAGAAGGAGACCCATGACAGTACGACTATCAGTATGCAGGGCACGTAAACTTGGATGAGGAAGTAGCCCGTGTGTCGCTGCAGGTTGAAAGATACTTGCAGCACGGAGAAGTCGCCTGGAAACAAATGATGATCATGATTTTGGTAAGTAGGTAGGTATGTACCTTAACTTCATTAAAAGAAAAAGTTCAGAGCTTAACTAGTGTGGCAGTGAAAAGTGGCCAAGCTAGAGGCGGAATTTTCTGGCATTTTAGAGTCGTCAGAGTAAGTACCTACTATTCTTACTTATTCGTCAGAGTATTATTATTCGTACTATTCTGCAGAGATCTTTATCTATTCCTAAGTAGGTAGGTACTACCTAGCCTAGTATGTATAATATTATAAAATCTACCTAATAGATCCTTAGGAAAAATGTATGTAAGTAGGTTAAGTACCTACCTATCTAGCACATGGCAAACCACCCATAACAGAGTTTATGAAAATAAAGCACTCTATTTATCGAAAAAAGGAAAATCAATGACCATTTGCAGCTCCAATCATGTACGGTTCCATTGGAGCAAATGTAAATTCTTTGAAGCGTAAAAGCCGATTCGTGTCAGAGACGCGGCGCGTTCCGCGGGACTATTTTATTTCGCGTTTGCCTCCAGGAGAAAAACATTTCCCACAATATTTTGCACAGAACGCCACTTTGGCCTACCTCAGAAAGATAACAATAAATATGGGAAAGTAAAATTTTTATTGCGAGTTCTTCATACTACTAAGCGAATATTGTGAATTGCTCCTTATTTTTAGTTACAGATCCCAGTGATCTTGCCAAACTCGATCGATTACTTAATTATTACTAAACATAAGTACTTACTTGTAGTTGGTGCTATATCTACGAGTGAAATGAAGTTAAAATAGTTCATTACATTATTTATCCACGCTATCTACGGACATGTTTAAATTGTTTTTATTTCTGAACATCCCAAACAACCATTGTTTTCGTAGCTGGACGTAACTCCATATTATAATCATCACAGGCATGCTATAGCAGGTACTTTATCTACACGTAGCGTAGATATGATGTTTTCTACCTAAACCCAAGTGTACGGAACCACATTAAGCAGTAAGCGGATAAAATCACGCCGGGTGCCTGATTAGTGAAAGCTGTTATGAGGACCTACGAGCACTGATTTTACTAGTTCATTGTAGTGGCACGTATCTACTTAGTAATTTTAAGTGAAGTGTTAATTGGATTGGATTTAAGATTAAGCATGCTTGGGCATTCAGCACTCTACAAACATTTAGGCAGTTAGGCAGAGTGTAATCGGCTGAAAAAAACGGCCATTTGTACCACGTCTGACAAATGTTTGAGAGTCATTCAGAAGACTGTGTATCACCATAGTGACAGGTTGCAAGCCTGTAGCCTAAAATTGCAATACACATCATCTCACAAGTCCCTTAGTCGCTTCTTACGACACCCACGGGTAAGGTATGGCGTGATGCTATTCTAAGCCGGCACCACGCGGCAAACATTTTATTTTTAGTGTTAGTGGAAGGGTCACTTCCATGCTTGTACTTGACTTGTACTAATGTGACGAGAAATCATCAGAATAAAGTAATGAAATTTTATATCGT